CCCTCGCACGTGCCCGCGCACACACGCCCTCCCTCTCGACCAAGCTGCTCTCTGCCGCTGGCGAATCGCACCCGTCGGTGCCTCGTACGCCGATCCCAGCGCCCTGGGCGGCGACGGTGGGGCGGCAGGCGGCGGCGGTGAGGGGGCGGCGCGGCGGTGACAGTGTGGCTCGCTGTCACGCCAACGACACGCTCGGACCGGAGAGGGCACCACCCGCGATCGGTGGCGCCCGCGCGAGCGTGTCGTCAGCGTGACAGCAAGTCAGAAGTCACGCTGTCACCGCACCCCCCCCCCCCCCCCCAGCAGCAGGGATGGCTTTAGATGTGAGGAGGGGGGGTACCGAGCAGTGTGCGGCCGCTCCGGGGTGTCGCGGATAAGGCGCGGGGTGTCTACCGCCGAGATGATTAATATAGCGGACTATAATGCCCGGGAACACCTCTCTACCCAGCGAAGTCCGTTTTTTAATTGGCGGAAGATTCAATTAGGTATGCGGGGTGGATGGAAAGGAAATAAATAAAAGAAAAAAGAAAATCGTCCATTTCGTCGCATCATCGGTGCGAGTTCCGGTCAGTTCCGACCGATCATCGAGGCGGACGGCCTGCTCCCTTGGTCTTATCCCTTGCTCCGGTGCCTGCGCTCTCACCGACACCCAGGATTCCCACCATGGAACGTAGTAATGCCCACCTCCAGCAGCAGCTCGGCAAAAAGGACGAGCAAGTAACTGTCTCTCCGACCACCACGATGGACACGCTCCCGCTCGTCTCGCCGCCGCCGTCCCGGGAGACGCTGCGGGAGACACTGCCGGCTGCGCCGGCTGCACCAGACGACCCAGTTCGCAGACCGACGCGCCGGCATCGTTGGCTGCTGTGGCCGCTGCTCGCCGCGGTCGTGGCAGCGCTGCCGCTCCTCCCGGTGGAGGTATGGCTGCCGCACATGGACCTGCCTTCCGACGACCTCTCGAGCACGGCGGATCCACTCCCGCCCTTGTTCCCGGCCGACGTGCCGTCCTTCCTGAACGCCACCTGCCTCGACAGCGAGCGCCGGTTTCCACTCGTGGTGACGCCGGTCGACCCATCCGTCTCGATTGAGCGCGTGTCCGAGTGGGTCGAGCGTAACCGCGACATCGTGACGGGCTGGCTCGACGCCTATGGGGCCGTGCTGCTGCGCGGGTTCGCCGTCGAGGAGGCGGCGCAGTTCGAGCGGGTCGCGATGGCGTACACGGACCGGCTGGACAACATCTACCTCGGCACGTCCCCTCGCGAGCCCGTCACCAACTCTGAGTTTGTCTTCACCGCGTCCGAGTTTGAGTCGTGGAAGGTCGTGCCGATGCACTGCGAGATGTCCTTCTTGCCGCGGCCGCCCGAGCACCTCTTCTTCTTCGCAAAGGAGATGCCGCCCGACATGGTCGGAGGCGAGACGCCCCTCGTCGACATGCGCGCCGTGGCGAGAGAGATGGGCGAAGCCACGCGCGCAGTGTTCGAGCGCAAGGGGATCCGGTATGTGCGTGCGTACCCGTCCGCCCGCTCCAGCCACCCCCTCGACAAGTACGACCCGTTCAAGACGAAGAGCTACGAGGCCATGTTCCGACACGTGCCCTCCGCCGCATCCGACGCCGCCGCAGTCGAGGCCGAGAGCCGCAGACA